ACGCCTCTATCTTCACCGCTGAATGTATCGCTATTCTGCAAGCTCTCAACATCGCGCTAAGTGACTTCAACCACAACTACTCTATATTTTCCGACTCGCTCAGTGCCCTATTGACTTTAAAAAATGCTACAATGTCCGCTCGTGATAACCTTTACGCCTTAGAAATTAAAAGCCGAGCTCTTGAGTTTTGTAGAAAAAGTACTAAGACGTTATACTTTTACTGCGTTCCATCTCATTCCGGAATCCAAGAAAATGATCGAGTGGATGAACTAACTAAAGAAGCTTTACTTTCAGAGCAGGAGATAAATTTTACAAGTAAGATTCCATACACCGATCTAAAGGAGTACAGCAAAAAACTCTCTTCCACCAACACCGATGTCATAGTCACCTCACAGGCTCTTTCAAAAGGCGTAGACTATTTCCTAAAATACTACAAGGCTTCTTTAAAGCCGTGGTTTGCTGGTTTACAGCTTCCAAGGGAAATTATCACAACTGTCAATAGGTGCCGCTCGGGCCATTATAATCTCATCGCTTCTCTCGCCAAATTAAAAATGGTTCCACCTAACTACAAATGCGGCAGTGATTGGCAAGATTTAGATCACATCCTCTGCCAATGTTCCTTATATAATAAGCCTCGTACAAAACTACTCATAGATCTGTGTCTATAAATGGGTCTTTGCTCTCAACTAGCCTCCTGTGTCCTGCTCACTAATCCGAATATGAAAATTTGCAAAATATTGTATATTTTCTTAACAGATTGTAACTTATCGATATAAATACTTTGCTACTCACTGAAAATGTAAACTAACAGTGTAAATATATGTAAAGCCGTTTATCTCACGTAAATATAAAGTAGTAGTATACAGGGTGTCCCATTTTAAAGGAACCACCTCGAAATTTTCGACGGTTGGCGTTGTACAAAAAAATTGTTCAGACAACAGTTGTTTGGGACAATGGGGGCAAACTTTCTGTGAAATCCGATTTGACCTTGAGATTTATTTTCAAGGTCATTTGAAGGTCAGTCATTTATTGAATAGGAACCCATATTTTTGATCCCGGATTCGGAAAGAGCGGAAAATTCTACGTTCAGATAACGTATTATGTGTGGGGTGCGGTTAACCCCCCCCCCCCCCGCCTAAGGTCACGTAGGGGTCAAATTTATGATTTTCTTCTTCTATGCACACGGATGATCGGGCAAGAGTAAGGTTAATTGTAATAACCCAATATCTCGATAACCCAAATAACCCAATAATCCAATAACCCGATAACCCCAATAATTCAATAACCCCAATATCCCAAAAAAATTATAGGGTCAAACAACAATGACCTTGAGCTTAAACTTCAGGTTGATTTTCAAAGTCGACTTCATGTATTCAAAGCCTTCATGAGAAGTGTCATTTTCCATTTTGTGGGATAACATGTTATTTCCATTCTTTTTTCTGGTGTGATTCCGGACAAGCCTACAAAGTTTCAACTAAATTGTTTAATAACACTTTTTTAGTATTATTTATTTTTTAGTATTGTTTATGACAATAGTGATTCGCGAACAGTCCTTCTCAGGATAGTTCAAGTGTAATTTTCTTAGTCTACTGAAAAGGAGGCAATATGCCGGATTATTCGAGAAACGAAATTGTTGATATTCTGTTGTCTCTCGGGGCATGTCAAGGCCGATATCCTGCTGCGGCAAGGTATTACCCGCAGCACCCGGCTAGGTAATCAATACCTTGCCTTTATTGGCTGGGTAATCGATACCTTACCTTCATTGACTGAGTAATCAATACCTTGCCTTCACTGGCTGGGTAATCAATACCTTATTAACCTCACCCTTGCCCCGGTGTGATGGGGGGGGGGGGTGAACCGCTCCCCCGACATAATACTTTATCTAAACGAAGAATTTCCCGCTCTTTTCGAATCCGGAATAATAAATGGGGGTCCTTATTCAAAATATCTCTTGGTTATTGGGGTTATTGGGGTTATCGAGTTATTGGGTATTGGAGTTATTGGGTTATTACAATTAACCTCACCCTTGCCCGATCATCCTTGTGCATAGATGAAGAAAATCATAAATTTGACCCCTACATGATCTTAGGCGGGAGGGGGGGGGGGGGGTTAACCGCAGCCCACATATAATACGTTATCGGAACGTAGAATTTTCCGCTCTTTCCGAATCCGGGAACAAAAATATGGGTTCCTATTCAAAAAATGACTGACCTTCAAATGACCTTGAAAATAAATCTCAAGGTCAAATCGGATTTCACAGAAAGGTTGCCCCCATTGTCCCAAACAACTGTTGTCTGAACAATTTTTTTGTACAACACCAACCGTCGAAAATTTCGGGGTGGTTCCTTTAAAATGGAACACCCTATATATGCATTGACTATGTATTTAGCATAATAATCTTGCATAGATTAAAAATGCTCAAGTAAAAAAAAAAATTTTTAGTTTATAAAATTACAATAAAACTATTTTCAGTTGGTACAAAATAAGGGAAAACTAGAAGTATATTTTTTTCTTAAGAAATAAGTGATTTTCTAGTAATATTTATCATTAATATAATTGCACAAAAAACATTGTATTATTCAAGTTCTAGAAGGGTATAAATTAATTTTATGTGTTTTTTAGATGATACAAATTAAGAAAAAGCCATTCATAATTTTTTTCTTTCAAAATCGTATATTATTCTACTGGAAGACAGATTTTTCGTTACGCATGCGCAGTATTACATTAATTTCAATTGCTAAACTACATTACAAAAATCTTCTTTTTTCTTAATTTAGAGGAGGGGGGTATAAATTACAAAAAAATCAGTTTTCGGTTAGAACAAATTAAGGCGAATCTAGTGGTATTTGTTTTTTTTTTTTTGAGAAAATCAATTAATTTGATACAAATATAGTACGACTCGATGTTGAATTTTCCACTCTACAAGTTTTACATGAAACTTTTTCTAATATTCGTGATCATTGACAAATTATTTGTTAGAAATTTACATTTTATTTGAATTTTCATCGATTTTCCGTATTTCCAGAGTTTTTTCACAGCTACTCTTTTACACTGGCTTTTTCATACTGTTAAGTAACGATGTATCAAAAATGGTGCTGGAAATTGTCATTTCGATTTATTTTTCTTGCAGAGACAAATGAAGTTCTATAGATCATGATTTAATATTTTCTCTATTCATTACGCTCAATAAATATTTTTCGAATCTTGGTAAGTACAAAATAGTTATAACATGGTTTTTATTATAAAAGAGTTTACAAGTCGAAGGAAATAAACGGAAATATATCAAATAGAAATAGCCCCAAAAACATTCTTTTTATCAGAATATTAAATTAAATGTTTACTGTTTAAATATAAATTAAGAGTTTACCGTGATACTATTGATTCGATCTTATTAGTTCATATTGATTCAAACTTAGTTCAAAATAATTCAATAGTATTAATATCTCTTTCAAGCTAATGCATTACATAAAACGATGACTTTTCGGAAATGATTTGTAGCTATAAAAATTCAATAATATTTGATCGTATTCCATTGAATTTTTAATTAAAATTATCGCATTTATAATTAAAACAGAGCATTAAAAACCATTCACCTCATTTTCAAGAGTACTTAATGGAAGCATTTTCCCTAATATTTATTTCCTTTTTATTCTAAATGTACCGTCATATTTATTCGGTGAAAGACATGAAAAAACGTTATTGAAAACTTAATTTTAATATACATTCGTTGCAATAATTCGTCTTGAAGTTTTTAAGCTTCTGTTGTATTGACCGGTGTACAGAGACACCCAGCACACACCCATACAACATACGCACGCATACGTGCGTGTGTGGGTAGGTATATGTAATTTTATCATAAAAAAAATATTGAATATTATCTTAAAATATATGATTAACACTACATTTTGAGGAACATAAGCTGAAAAAAATTTTTATATTATTTCATTAAATAATAGTACGTAATTTTTTTAAAAGCTATTATGCATGAGTGTATGCGCATGATCGCTTTATAGATTTAATAATTGCTTTGAAAAAAAGATTCCCAAAGCTTTCAATAAATTTAAAATTTGTTCTTCGGTTTCTCATGTAGACACATCAATTTTAAATTACAATAAATTAGAAAAAAAATTAGAATAAATTGTTTGAATCGAACTTTTTTAACGAAATACAATAGTACATATGGATACTTGCATATCATTAGTAAATTTTTTATCCGAACATCAATTGCTTTTTTATACAATATTTTAGATATGAAGTAACTTCAAGTTATTTTTAGATTTTTTTAAACAACTTTTAATTACTATAACTTATAACCGAAGGTTAGTTTTTATTACATTTAGAATGTTTTAAAATAAAAAAAATACAATAAAAATGCACAATTTGATAAATGTCTTGATTATGTAATTTTTAGAAAAACATAGAGCCGTTGTAACCTTATCGAAACATGACGCATTTTTTCACGATTGAGAACTTCTAGGTGAATCCGCTTTATAGGTTATTTTAGTACCAAGATAGCTTAAATATTTGAAAAAAAAAGAATAATGATTACAATGTACATTGCAATGAAAGCTGTAAATAGCAAATGTTCGAAAAAATTAGAAAATATCTTATAAAGATTTTATTGTTATATGGTATTGATTTGAGATACAAATAGGAATCCCATTATAACAAAAACTCAGTTATAACGAATAAATTTCTAAATTGTAATTCGTTCATGCAATGGTTTTTGAAATATGGTTTATAACATAGACTTAAAAAACAGGCGGATATAACAAATGTATTAATAACATGTATTAATTTTTTCTACAAATGCTCATGAAAGACAACTTGAGTAAAACACGTTCATTTTCTGAAAGACTTATAACTTTTCAACTACAACAATGAAAAATAGTTTAACTACAATAATAAAAATGTGAAAAATTTAATCACTAAAGAATTAAAAATCCTCTTAACTAGTACAACATTTACATGCAAATTAAAAATATAAAATACATTCGAACCATTTGTTTAAATCTTGCACATTGTAAATGTAAATACAAAAAATATACATGAGATGTATATTCTACTGAATTTTAGAACAGAAACAACACGTAGATACCGGAAAATCGTATGATGAAGAGTACAGTCTATTAGACTTTACTTCTCAAACTTCTCTGAAAGAAAAATAATATCAAAACCAGCTATCTTCATTAGTAAAACACACTATCATTGTGGTTTTCTTAAGCACTTTTATTAATCTACAGTAATATATTTTATATAAGTTTCAGCTTAATTATTTAATATGGAATCACCATTTTTTATTTGTTCTCAATTCTAGAAAACATAAACATAACCTAGACAAGAAATCACGCAGACGCAACACTAATAAGGGATGGGGAATAGGGGTGAGGACTTGAACGGCTATATAAAACGATTTATTGACTGACGCATCTTGCATAAAGTATCACTTATAATTATTTATTTGATATTATGAAAGTAAGTAATTAAAATAATTATAAATTACAGACTGCGCATATACAACCCAAATATATTCCATATAAAAATAAGTAGCAAAACGTAAAATAAATTGTTTTAATACCATTATATGTGTTGCAACATTTTTGACTGAGTTGCATAAGTTTATATGTTAAAACACTATGAACTATCAATTAATTAACTAAAAATAGATTAAAAAAGTAAAAGAATAATAAAAAATGCTATTTCTACATTATATTGAATAACGCATCAGTGAAATTTTAGTCTAGACTTTGAAAAAGTGTAAAGCCATTTAATGTAAATTTTCCTCGTGATTTTGAAAACCTACCATTATTTGAAAATCATTATTTTTTATGAATATGTACATGGAAATATTTATTATCAAGCGAGCAATATACTTCAATTTCATTGTTGAAATTTTCTTCGAAAAATTGTTATAATAAAATATTTCCTTTTTTAAGTAATTGAGCCATAAGCTAAATTTCTTCACAAACCTCAGTATGACAATTCATAATGAAAATATTACTTAAATAGATGAACGACGTACGCCCACGCGAGCGAGCCGTGACGATGGAGATGGAAAAGCGCCTCTCCTTTTTTACTTTTGTTTTTGTACTTTTTTTCTACTTTACTAATAATGTTTTCATATATTTTTGTTTTGATATTACAATCGAAATATTAATATTATTAATCATAATTTTCATAATTATTTAAGCGATAGACAACTTCATATATTTTTTTTTGTTTTTTTGAAGTTATACATGAGAATTTGTTAATTGTAAAAATTATTACTAATTGAAATTTGAAAAAGAGCAATGGCTCAATTCTCTCCTCATATCATGTTCTTGGATTTTGCATAATTGATAATTACCTTTGACATCTGTACCGTATTTAATTTGGATTTTTTGTAATGCAACTTCTGACCTATATTTTAACAAGTCACGAGCCACAATTTGGATCTAGATGAACTTTTGACGAAAAAGGATAGAGACTTTTATTTTCTGAAAATGGCATTATTTGTAAAATTTATAATTTAATATCTAAAAAAGATATTTCTTACAAAAGAAAGTAATACGTAAAATTGAAGGTATTGAACTGAAAAATGGAAAAAAAAACATAAATATAGTAAATATAGTCGCTATTTTTGCCGCATACGAGTTATCAGTATCAATATGAACACAATATAGTTTTCTACAACGCCATTTACCTACGAAACAATAAACGAATGTATTCAACGAGATAAGATCATTAAATTATGTATAGACGGTATATTATTTTGTGTATGCCCGCGCGCACGTGTTACTTATTTCAAGACCTTTACGTCGATCTCTTACTGATCATGGAATTTTAAGTTCTTACATGATCCAAAGCATTCCTTAATAACAATATACCACATTTTTACTAAATTCGCTATTGTTTTAATACCCCATACTGGTTCCTTATTTACTAAAATTTTCAACTTACACTCTACTATAATTAATAATCCTATTTCTATGCATTACAAATTTTAAAATTTATTCCATAGCTGTATGACGATACCTGATATATCAATGGACTTTAATATAATTTTGTAACCAGTATGTCCACTTTCACGCTCTTCATTCAATAATTAATTTCTATACTAGTGATGTATTGAGTTTAATGCAAATCCACTGTTTGAACTATCTTTTATTTTTACAGAAATGGCATTATCATTAGCATTGGCAAAAAATTTCAAAGCAGCTGTAATGTTGCAGTATCGCGACTATAGTAATGTCTCGAATCAACAATATTTTCCTATATTATTTTATATTCTAAAGATAACATTTTCATACTTCTAAGTTTGCCAAAATGTAGCAGTATGAAAAGTATCTCCTTTTTCTTTAAATAGTACATTTAATTTTGGTTTTGCAAAATCTTTCAAAATTTCTCGAAGTGAATTTACAAATTCTTTCGTGACAAATCTTTCTGAGTAGATTGTCACTGCGGTTTGAAAACAATGTTCTTATCAAACTTTTATCCTTAATAAATTTTGTTCTTAATAATACAATTGTAGATGATTATCACTTATTATCGCATAAATATTATAGTCGTAGTCAGTTTTTGCATTGGCATTCTAACATAATTCATTAATATGATCACGCAAATTATTCCCTCTAAACTGATATATGAAAGAACGTTAAGAACATATAGGCAAATCCACAGAACTTTTAGATTTGCAATTTCACGTCTTTATTTATCTTTCTCTTCTAATGTATCAATATTTCAATTGTTATATGAACGTTTTTAATGAATGATATGGTAAACAAAGAGTTTTTATGGGTTTTGTAAGATTTGGAAGCAATCTGAGTAGTTAGGAGGCCGTTAAAAAATGAAAATTTCAAATATTTTAAGTTAATCAATTTTCAAATATTTTAAGACAGTTGTAAGAGCGCCGTCAAATATTTTGAGGTGGTAATAGTTAGAAAAACTAGCAGTTATATAAGCAAAATAATACTATGGATCTTATATATGTGCTATCATTCTATAAATAGTTACACGATCATGGGAAAAATGAGAACAATATTTTTTAATTATAAAATGTTGCACTATTTCATGAAATGAAATCTACGCCATCAAATATTTTGTATTTCTAATCCTTAAAGTTAGTTTGTCTTATCAAGAAGAATCAATCCCAACAACTTAAATTAATGTGCCTCTTTTTTTCAGTGATTTAAAGTCGTTTGAAAATTTCGTCTAAACATAGTATAGCCAGTGTCGCAGCCGTGAAGTAAACTGTATAGAGTTTTCATGAAAAAAATTAAAGTACCATCCTTACGTAAAAAAAAAAGATATTTGAAGAAAATAAATTCGCATTCTGTATCAATAAAAAATCAGCTTATGAAGAAACGATAAAAAAATTAAAACACGTAATTTATAAAGCGATTTTGAGAGGTATAAAATATAAATGGAATAAGATGTTATTAAAAATGATTGAATTTTAATCAACGCGATTATTGAAAACAATTCGTTTTATTAAAATCAATTGAAATTTATTAAAATTTAATCAACTTTAATAATTTTTAATGAAGCATTTTTAGCAAGGAATTTTAATTGAAAAAATTTGATAGTGCTTTTTAAAGAAGATAACTTGCTCTTTCTAATGCTCTTTCCAGTTTTTGACTACAATGGAAATTAGCGATGTGAGAAGAGTACTAAAACAGCGAAAAAGTCTTTCTTGCACTTTTAGGTTAGGATATTTTAAAAACTGGGGGGTGATGGATCAATTCTGAGGCCAGATTCGGATTCAGCGCATAAAATTCCTTCGGGTACACCATGTCTGATCTCTGGGTCTAGACTTTCGTCAAATTTTGAGAGTCTCAAATTTTGTCGGTCCGTGTTATCTTACACTATTAATCTCACTAATCTATGTTGTACTCCAAGATGTGGATCATTTTCAACCATATCGAATAAAAATTCTAAATCTTCCCATTTACCATCAACTTTTGTAAAATACACTAAAGCTATTAATGCAACTATTCTTACATTTAATATGGATTTTATTATAAGTTTTTTCAATCATTTATCAGAATTTAAAAATAAAAATTGAACAAGATTTTACCAATAAATTGACTATATAAGCTGAATACTCTCGGAATAAATAAGAATCACTAGGAAGGTATTCAAATTTTTGTAAAATACGAATTACTTGAAACATCTAACTGAAACTGTATATTTATAATTTATAAGAAGGAAATAATTTTTCTAAATTCAAATGCCCGGTTTATACTTCTTTTAATATTGCTTTTGTATCTATTGATAGTAATTCAGCAGTTATAGTAATGATAAAAAAATAATAAGTAATTACAAATTATATAATCTTTACTAATTAATTAAAAATGTAAACTAGAACTAATGTTTACCCATATTGAATATTAATCACAGGTGCTACAGTAGCTCCAAGTGATTCAATAAGAGCAGCTCTATAATACTTATCAGAATATTTATTTTTAATGTTATTATTGAATAAATTCACTAAAAAAGAATGTACTTCAGGAGGACAGATTCTATGATCAGAACCAGCCATCGCTACAGAAATTGTCTAAAATATTTAGTAAATAAATTTATTATACTATGGAAAATACTTTCATTAATTTTTTTATATTTTATTTTTGCTTAATTAATTTTCTAATTGTGCGTTAACACAAAATTTTATTTTTGCATTCTAAAGAAATGTCAAAATGTTAAAAAAGCGCGCTATAGCTCAATCTTACAATTGTAAGGCTTATTGTATTCGCACCCTTGACGGTTATTGTATCGTATGCTCGCTAAAAAATGAGTCATAGTAAGAAGATATTTTCAGTCTTTTACTAATTTACTTTAACCCCTTATCACATAATTATAAAATTAGAAAATTTCATATGATACGTACTAACTGTTCCAAAAAGATTCTAGAATGGTGATATAATATGTTCGCTATAAGCGTTTATCATACCTAAAAATAATTCTGTGGTAAACTAAAATGATAAACTGATGTACCGCAAAACTTTTTCAGAATAAGCCCCCAGATAGAACGACACAGACCAGTTAATGTGCAGACGAGTCGGTAGACGCAACGAGTAATACAGTAATTTATAAAAAATTATTCGTTAAATTCATTAATTATGGAAGAATTACGTTCTATAAACAAAATTTATCATAGATAGCAATATTTTTATTTTACTGAAACGAAAAATACCAAAAGAGTATGCATCTATATAAATATTAATGGTATAGTGAATACCATTTCATCTTTGACAAATATGTATTCGAAATAGATCAATACTTGAATTTAAAATTGAATACAATTTTTATGTATTAAAATATGCATGTTTGCAGTTTGGATGACATTCTTTATCATGTTTTCTTTGACTTATTTGAATCAGCGTAATTAATTAAATTATAATTTATTTTCAGCTATATTGCATTAAAAAATTTATTATTTATAAGATTACCGCATAACAAATGCAAAATAATTTTCATTTTACAGATCATTTGCCTCTGTATAATATTGCAATTTATAATATCTAATCATAATTATAATTTTAACTACAAAATCCATGTGGGGTAGAACAAGATTTACACGTGCAAATCCAGCCAGAAATCCAGTTGGAAATTCAGGTCAGGTTTGGGCGATTCTGTCAAAAAGCTTCCAACAGTTGACAGAATCGCCCAACCCTGATCCAGGTCGATGTTCAGTGACATTACCTATAAACCTATAAATAAAAAAAAAAACCTATAAAATAAAACCTATAAATATAAATATAACCTATAAATCAACCTAAAAAATACACCTAAATTCAATTGAAAATCTAACTGTAAATTCTGTCACATTCAGATACAAATTCAGCGAATTCCAGCTAGAAATCCAGCTGAAAATTTTAGTTGGATATCCGATTGAATTTTTTCAACAGGGAATACGAGGATAAACCTCAACAGTGATAATATAAAAAATAATCATATGATAAACTTCATAATTCTCATTTAAATTAGAAGCATTATAAATTAGATCCACAGCCGTGATGTACAATATTCCCAAGTAAACTAAATTCATCAAAACTACGCTAGGAGCAATGACAAATCCTAGTAACAATGAAACGTTTGAAATAATTTGAAAAATAATTCTCTTTGTAAATTTTTATAAAGAAGCTAAGGATGGGCAAATAAAACTAATAACACATGTGAATTGGGCAAATTAAAATCTTTTGATTGGTATATTTGTATTTAATTTAGCATTAACTATATGCAGGCTGCAATGGGAGTGGTGAAAACATGAACCAGTAGCAGCCAACGGACACGACGCGGACCGCTGCGGGTAATATATCGTACATATTGGTAAAAATATATTACATGCATATAAGAAATATATATATGTATATATATATATCTGTTTGTGTACTCCGCTATAATTATTTACATATTTTCAATTCAACTCATCATTACTTCAACCTGTTGCAAATCTTCAATAGTCATTAAATGCATTGGTAAGATCTAAGCGCTAAAGTAAAAGATCAGCATTTCTTAGGTACTTATAACAAACACTTTGAAAACAGTAAATATTTGTTTACTTGTCAATAATTTCAATTAAACAGGTATGCTGTATAAAAAATTCCAAATAAAAAGTGTGCTTTACATAAATTTTCCATTCAAGTAATTAAAACGATGAATTTTTTAATGCAATTTTCAATTCGTAAAAGCAACGATAGTGACATTAAAGTACCAACAGCAGTAAAAATAAAACTCAGGCTTTCAAAGATAAGTTTAGGAGCAAAGATTCTCCATACCATAAGATGCCGACAATGGATAGTGGTGGCAAACATACAAACTAGTACCTGCAATTTATTCATTAACAAGTATTTTTAAGTCATTTGAAAATTATAATTGTATTTATAAATCATAACGTACCCTTGCAGCATGAAATAAAATGTATTTTCCAGCCACTGAGAAAATCGCGGAATGAAACAGAGTATCATTCTGATATAGAATGAGTTCACCTTGTTTATCAAGATCTTGTATTTCAGCTTCTTTGGCAAAACTGGGACAGACATGTCGCAAAGTAAATGGTGCTATAACTAAGAGTGGAATAGCAACTGCTAATATGAAATGTGATCCAAATGTATTAAATCCTGTATTGTAAACAAATTTCTGATACTAAATCCATCAAAAAAAAGAATATATCATTAACACTAAAAATATATACCTATAAGTATTGCTCTTACATAAGTCAGTGACAGGGCACCATCAATACCTACAAATCCAGCTTCCCAGTGAATAGTTGAAAAACTTGATTGATGTCCAGTGGCATAAAAAAAATACTCTGCGATGAGAAACCAGCATAAAATAATTGAACTAGGAACATGCAAAAGTTGTTCTGTTTTGCAAGAGAGATAATTTTAATTTTAATATGATAATATAAAAAATAATCAAGTAATAAACTTTATAACTCACCTAAATTAGATGCATTATAAATTCGATCTACAGCCGTGATGTACAATATTCCCAAAGAAACTAAATTCATTAAAACTACACTAGGAGCGATGACAAATCCTAGTAACAATGCATACATAAGACTTAAAAGTACAATTAGTAAGATGTAACATGCACTGTAAACAGTTCCGAGTCCAAAAACTATAGGAATTGAATTCTGATTTTTATTTTTTTTACAATAGAGAATATTTTTCATTTTCTTGTACATCTTTGGTATTGAAGATTCTTCTTGATAAATTCTTATGGTATTATTCATATCTTGATGCAAATGAATGGCAAGAGGCTGATAACATAGGCATAATATAGCAATGATAAAGAATACATAGATAATCAGAGGTAAAAAATTGACCTGCTGTAAATGAAAACTTAGTACTTTTCCACTTTGTTGTACTTTCAAAATCCAGTAAGCAGAACACAGAACTACGATTAGTGCTAGAATGAATCTAGCTATAATTTCATTTGCAGAGTACCCTGATAAATTTCCACGATTTCGAAGCCAAATTTTCGTTATTGCAATATAAGATGTAAGTGATATAATTGCTGTACAAACAAAAATTACTTCTGCATTTCTGGAAGTAATTGATCCAACTTTTCCTATCACAAAACTTGTACTAGATTGTATATATTGATCAGTTGTTGATCTCTGTTCTTCTCTGTATCTCCAAAAATAATTTGAACTTCTAATTATTAAACAGATTACAATAAGTAGCATTAATGATATAAGAATGTACATAATTCTCTTATTTGGCTTTCTTACATTTTTTCTTTTCCTATCTAAATTTTCAAAAATATTTTGGTTTTTGAAGACTGAATATATAAAATAACAAACTTGAGATATTAAAAAATAAGATAATATTTTGTCTTCTTCAATTATATAACTATTTGAAAATACTCCAAAAACTACTATGAGTAAAATCAGCCTTGAAAGAATATTAGTTATGTACTTTTTACCACGAGATTTTTCATACCATGTCTTAGAAATAGATTTCCAATTATTAATTATCAAAATTATAAAACAAATGAGTTGTAGCAAGCCACAGTAAAACCAGAAATTATTTTCAAAGTTATTTATCACTTGCAACCAATGTAATAATACAAGGAATACTATACTTAAAAATACCACTGTACTTACACACATTAAAAAAGGTGATTCCAATATATTATACATTCTGTTTCCTACCAGACCATTTAATATAACAAAAAGAAAAATTTCAGTAGAACAAAAAAGAATTAGTCCTTCTGTCATCAGATTTGAATCAAACTGTACCCATACTTCATAACAAATTTTTCGCACAACTGTGAAATATTCATTAGCCATGCCTATAAAATTTTTCAAATCACTTTCATTCTTGGTCATTTTTACATTGATCAAGATTTTATTATACATATTTTGAAGATCCTGTAGTTGATTTTTGTCAAAAACATTGTTTTTGAATGAATAGGTATCTATATAATATTGTATTTGATAGATGTTTTTCCATAAAGAATGCAATAAAAAGTTGAAATCAGCTATTTTAGAATAAGAATTATTTGTTATACTTGGTATTGCTTCAAGAATGATATTTCCAATATTTGAAAATGGTATAGGAATTCCTAAAATTACGGATATGGTTGGAACAATATCGATTTGGTTGGCTACGTCCTTTTTTTCTACATTCAAATTGATGTTTGTATCTATTAATGGCAGAGTTGAATAAATAAACAATACTGTTTCAATTTCATCATTGCTATCACCACCATGATCACCACTATCTGTCATTCCATGATCTCCGATTACAAAGAGTATTGTGTCTTTTGCATCTTGATTAATTTTTTTAACAAGATCATTAATAAAATAATTAGTTTCATTTAATTTTCGCAACATTTCTGGATGATTTTTTCCATGTTTATGACCACAATGATCAACACCTAACATATGAGCTATTAAGAGCGACCAATCATTTTTGTTTATCTCAGTGAAAATTTTTTTTTTAACTTTTGTATCTACAGTATCAAGATCAGAAACATCAAATGAAGGAGCAGCATATTCTCGTTTAAATTGTTTTGGATATAAACTTGTCCAAGTATCATCTCCCATAAAAATATTTCCATTATCTATGTTTAAGTCAATGAAATTATCTTCTAAAATATTATCAGCTCCAAAATTTTCATGTATATCTATAAACGTGGGCAATGTTCCTGTAGTTATGCTTTTTAATCTTTGCATTGTAGTTGTGGGAGGATCAGCTATAAATTTTAACAATTTAGAGTTATTCTGATTTCTTTTTAATATTTCATTAATAACTGGGAGTTTATTTCTGTAAAACGATTCTTTTGATTTTGTATCTTCATATAACTCAACAAATTCAAATTTTAAAGCATCAATCACTAATAGCACAAGACGTGCTCGAGGTTTCAGACATTCAAAAATTATAGAATCAGGATTTGAAAAATTGAATATATCAATCCTAGGATACAAAGAACAATTACTACGATTAAACAAAGCATTTTTTTTAAGAAAAAAGCCATTTATAAAAAGAAAAAGACCACAGCTGATAGATATTATAATCCAAAATAAGATACAAATATATTTAAACAACTTTGTCATTGTAGAAGATATTCAATAATAATTTTCTATATACTTAATTCTTGCTTTGATTACTGTCATAGCACCTGTAATATTAAAAAAATGTGAAAAAGTTCTTATTTCTTATCATAAATTTTATTAATGAAATATTATATTTTATAAGTTCTACAAGATTTTGATGAACAATAAATAATGTAATCATAATTGAGGTTATGAAGAGCACTATAACAATGAATTTTAAATAAAGAAAAGAGTAAAATGTGATAACAATTGATATATCTATGATTTATCATTGGTATTACATATACATCTATTAATTATTATATTCATTACTATTGAATGGTTGCAAATTAAATTAAAATTGAATATGAAAAAATCAAGATTAAGAAAAACATGTTATTTGAATAATATAGTTAATATAGTTCGTTACCACATATATAAATTTCTAGCAGTTTACCAGGAATACAAATTTCACATTCATCATATTGCTTACAAAATACCGCTTTCAATTAAGTCCAAATAGGAAAGAAGTTATTATAATAGAAAGATATCTAAGAAACGTCAGTAAATCTTTCAAAGTCTTAAAAGTTACCATCTAATTATTTAAATATCGATAATATTAATAAACTAATTATACCATTCGATTGCGTGTCTCTCAGTTATTAAAATATTGATTATGCATCATTGAAAATGATAATTTTCTCGTAAAAATTAAATAAGTTATGATTGCCGGTACCAGCAGTTAAATTTAATTGATGATTAAACGAACTTACAAAGTGAAACCCCCCTTACCCTAGCCAGCAAAGTGTAATGGACAGTGAAAAAAAAAATACCATTCGAAACATCTCTAATTGAACCCCCCAAAAATGCTCAATATTTTAATTGAACCCCTTCAGTTGTTCCAAAAAAAATTAAAAACTATGATGATTTTTTCGTTTTTTGCAACTGCGATATCTTTAGTAATACTTAATATTTTTGCAAAAGAAACAAAGCAAAAAATTGAACCTTTGCTCGTTTTAATTGCACCCCTCTCATTTTTTCAAAATTATTAATATATATGTCAAAAACAACAATCTAACTTTATTGTATGTTCTTTCCAAATAACCCAATAACCCAATAATCTATTTGAAAAGAACATACAATAAAGTTAGATTGTTGTTTTTGACATATATATTAATAATTTCGAAAAAGTGAGAGGGGTGCAATTAAAACGAGCAAAGGTTCAATTTTTTGCCTTGTTTCTTTTACAAAAATATTAAGTATTACTAAAGATATCGCAGTTACAAAAAACGAAAAAATTATCATAGTTTTTAATTTTTTTTGGGACAACTGAAGGGGTTCAATTAAAATAATGAGCATTTTTGGAGGGTTTAATTAGAGATGTTTCGAATGGTATTTTTTATTTTTACTGTCCATTACACTTTGCAGGCTGGGGTAAGGGAGGTCAAAGTGAAGTTCGATCACAATTATATGTAATGTCCCCGCCAGTGATGAGAATTCTTCATCGAAACGATCCTGGCAGAAAAATGATTGATTTAAAAAAAATATATATACCATTAGCTTCGTCTTAATTTGTACCACCCGAAAAATCATTTTTTGGAATTTGTACCCCCCAAAATTTTGAAAAAAAGCGAAAAAAACGATATTGCGGAAAACTTATACTCCTGGCAGAAAAATGATTGATATCATAAAAGAAAAAAATACCACTAGTTTCATTTTAATTTCTACCATCAGAAAAATGCTTTTTTAGAATTTGTACTCTCTCTAAAAATAGAGAAAAAAAAGATTTACGTTGGGTAGATTAGCAATTCAAATTAACGTATTACTGCGCATGCGCGGTGGAAAATCTAACTTTCAGTAGAAAAATATGCGATTTAAAAAAAAAAATATATGAATGCCTTCTTCTTAATTTGTACCATCTAAAAAATACATAAAACTAATTTGTATCCTTGTAGAATTTGAATAATACAATGTTTTTTGTGCGACGGTAATACTGATAGATTGATTGTTCGTGACCTATTGTGGGCGACACAAAGAAGCTTAGTTCACTCGTTTGATTTTTTTTATTGTTGTTTTATACGAACGATTTATGCCTTGAATTTGTTCGTAGTTTCTAGATTGGTTAGGAGAATGAAATAACTTAAACACCTTTTTAAAGGAAAAGCCTATAACGGCACAAAAACCCTTTTATTAATTGACACTTACACAGAGAATTTTTAATGAGAAGGAAATTGGATAGAGTATAGAAAAAAAGAGTAACTGACGCCGCGGGAGAACAATGGCCGCGCGCACGCAAGGAACCCACGTGTTGCACAACACACAACCGGCTCAATTATTCGAAGCACATTCGCACATTCACACACAGTTTTCCTTTTACAATGAAGAGATGCGATGATAGTATGATAGATGATGAGATAACGATACGATAATGTGTAGAATATACATACTGTTCCGTTGAACAGAAGAGGTTCGCGAGGGAGCTCCGCACGCTAGACGATGTCGTCGACGACTGCCGGGCAAGCCGGAAGAAGAGAGCGTTCTCTCCACGATTGCCGCGCCAGCACCGTCAAGTGCTGCCACTGCGTGAGATTTAGGGGCTCTAGCCCTTACAAATTGTTACGACTTAACATGCTGCCGGCCACGGCTGCGAGACTATTTCGAACAGTAATAGTGGAGCAGTGGTTAGACTTAACCTAGTAATTGAATTGTGCATAGATATAGATTATCCTAAGAAGTCTAATCGAATATTTGATTTATTTACAAGTGGAACCAGTTTCCGTTGGAGGGACTGCTCCAATGATTAGCACCGTTATCACAATCGGTTCGATGAATAGACTAATTAAACTCTTTATTAATTGAACAAGAACAACTTAATCTAATACGTAACATATATACATTTTCTACAGTACTAAATTATTTATTTTGGAAGACTAGTCAGTTAAAGTTCGTTATCGATTCACTCGATCGCAATTCGGACCCCTATTCTAAAAGTCAGAATCTCGAATTAGTCAGGAACCCATTTAACCGGATGGGTATCGCGTCGCAAGAGTCACTCTCTCGACGTGACCCTTGAGCTTCTGGCTGTAGAACTTTCGGATTCCTCCATTCTCGGGCCAGGCTTCATAGATGCACCACTCAGAATACGATAAGGTTCAACTCATGTATGGCAAACCAAATCGCGCACATCTGGGGGCAATGTTAACGATTATTCTGGGAGGGGTTGCTGAGATTCTGACGGGATTTGCCGCCCTGTTCTATGGGTAGCACGCAGAGCCTAGTGATGTTTCGTTTGTAGACTCCGGATGCCATCTTCACTGTTGCCACTCGAGCAATGCCATCACTCCCAGGATGAACCTCCTCGACGATACCTAGCGGCCATCTTGCGCAAGGAGAGTTCGTGTCCTCCATCGATACGACAACCATGCCAGGTTTTAGAGTGGCAGTGGAATTCAGCCATTTAGTTCGGACTTGGAGTTCGTGCAAATATTCCCGGTGCCATTTCCTACAGAAATCCTGTCTTGCTTTGCTTATGAACTGGTACGGCTTCAAACGATTGTCTGCGACTGAATCAAAGTCAGGTTCGGGTAAGAAGTCGAACGGACGTCCAATCAAAGCATGCGCGGGTGTTATCGCTAAAGGGTTATTAGGGTCTGCAGAAGTCACGTATAGTGGGCGAGAATTAAGGATCGCTGCGATTTCCTTTAAAAAAGTTTCAAGCTGTTCATACGTGAGTGGTTGATTGGTCATCAAACGATTCAAATGATATTTGAAACTCTTAACGGCGGCCTCCCACAATCCGCCGAAATACGGAGAGAGAGGAGGGTTAAACGGCCATTCGATTCGTTTGGGGATCGTGAAGTTTTGGATAGCTTCTTGGAAAACAGAAGTCCCGTGTAACTCGTAGAGTTTCTTAAGTTCATTGTTCGCACCGACGAAATTGGTACCGTTATCGGACCTCATTATTCGCGGGATCCCATGCGTATTAATAAACCGACGGAGACAAGCGAGAAAGGCTTCAGTGGAAAGATCTGACGCTAACTCGATATGGACGGCCTTGGAAGCCATGCACACGAAAACACAACCGTATGCTTTAATGAAGCTACGATTACGCTCTTTCTTTTCTTTAATCAGAATAGGCCCGAAAAGATCTACACCGGTTTCCTCGAACGGATACTCGGGAGCAACGATCCTGCATTTTGGTAGATCCGCTATCTTGGCGTGAGGGAATTTTGGTTTCTGACGAATGCACGGCACACATCGCTGTATGATATGCCTAATTTGGTCTTTGCCGCCGAGAGTCTAAAATCGTTCTCTTATGGCGTAAAGTGTCATCTGGATTCCGCCGTGAAGTGTTCGACGATGAGCGTCACGAATGATCAGGTCGGAGATGTGGTGGGATTGTGGAAGCAATATTGAATGTCACTGGTTGAACATGAGGTCGGAATGTTTTAAACGACCGCGTACTCGGATCAATCCATCGCTGTTAAGAAATGGACTGATTTGATCGAATTTAGTTCGATTCCTAAACTCACCGCGATATTTATCATTAGGTGGGTTTTGATCGGATTTTAAAGCTTCGATCTCGGAGGCAAAACATTCCCTCTGGATCAGAAATAGGAGACGAAGTTCAGGCTTATCAACTTCAGCTTGAGTTAGATAACGAATCCCTCTTTGTGATTTGCCCGTATCTGGAATCTCACCTTGAGGTAATTCCTTACTCGTTAAACGGAGCATGTACGCTATCGATCTGATTAAACAACCGAAATCCGAGTATCGGAGGTAAAAGGAGCTAGTCGAAAAGGTCGTTGCTAACGTGTGACTCGCAAGTGGAATCGGTGATTCAGGCCATTTATCTTCCGATAACCTCAGCCAGTGAGGACCGCAATTCCAGAGGGAATTCCTCACTAGTTCACCCGGTAACTGTCCTCGAGACAGTGCATCAGTTGGATTATCCGCCGACCGGACATGTCTCCATTCGACTTCATTACCTAATTCTTGAATATCAGCTACTCTATTTTTCTCATAAGTCCTCAACAGATGGGGCGCCTTTTTTAACCAAGATAAAACGATCGTTGAATCTGTCCAGAAGATGGTCCGGGCAACGGAAAAGACCAGCTGTTTCCTAGCCTTCACGTATAACCTTTTCAGAAGGACCGCGCCGGCTAATTCCAGTCGCGGTATTGTTTGATGATCGATGGATGCTATTTTGGACTTGCTAACGAGCAGCCTGACAGTAACGCGTCCTGTCGCGTCGACTGTGCGGATGTACACATCAGCGCCGTACCCTTGTGACGAAGCGTCACAGAAGCCGTGTATTTCGGTTGACGTTGGAGTTTCCCCTCGTAGGTACCTCGGCTCTGCAAACTTCTGCACCTCGGGGAGTTGATCGGCAAACTTGACCCATTTCGTGTGAATCTCCTGCGGCAACGACTCGTCCCAGGTCAAATTTGACCGCCAGCAATCTAACAAAAGCCCCTTTGCATATAAAATTAAGGGGCCTAGTAATCCTAGAGGATCGAAGATTCGTGCAACCTCTGAAAGCAATTTTCTTTTTGTAGAAACTGTTGTGATATCGAGGACACGGGAATATGGGTGTGATACAATTAGTGGTTTACAGTTAATGTGTATTGACAGGGTCGCGAGAGCGTACGTCCAGTATGATAGCTCCGTGACCCATCCACGTCTACTGACTCATTCGCATCTGTGTCTCTCTTAGACACTTAAGAGGGCGCTACTGAAGGCGCGCTCTCTCGACATCCTTCCTTTTTTATTAATACGATTCTTTTGATGATGCTTACAATTTAAATAAAGATTACATAGGAACAAATACATATATACGCAGAAATATGTTAGTCGAAACCATAGCGCGCAGGCTGTTTTTTATCACGCTCCGATCTACACATAGTAGTTACATTATTGGTTTCGGTATGTGTCAATACACTATCAGCTAGTCGCTGCGCTTCTACACTTATACCGTTAGTCTGATTACCGTTGTCTAATCTATTATTACAATTATAATTCGGCTCGCTCGTAGGCACAATATTTGGCACAATGGCGTATTCACGTGGTTGTACATTATTTAGATCGCTCGGTAAGATGACTGAATCCTGGTTACATTGGTTTATCTTTTCGATATACGGCGCTGGAATCAAATGCCATCGATTTCTCTTAACTACGTTACCGTTCGATGTTTTTACAATATATGCGTTGGGGCTTTCGCTTACTTTTATTATCTGACATAGCGTCGCATATCTATAATCCATACCCGATCGTTTGCGTTTAATTTTGACAAATTTTTTACGCGATGACGTTTATTGTAATAATACTCCTGTTTTTCCTTTCTCTCTTTTTCTTTGATCGAGATTTTTTTGTGGTCTTTGAAAGTACCTAGCTGCCTAGGATGTACAGGGACAGTGGATCTGATTTTTCGTGAGAACATTAACTCCGCGGGCGAATATCCGTTTTCCAGCGGAGCCGCTCTGTAGGCTAATAGACCTAAACAAACGTTTTTGGATTTTACAATTATACTTTTCGCAATTTTTAAAGCGGACTCAATTTCGCCATTGCTTTAAGAAAATTTCGGAGAACTAGTGATGTGATTTACATCCATTCGTTTACAAAACTGCGCAAATTTACTTTTAAACTGCGATCCGCAATCGCTTCGCACAATTTCTGGAATACCGTATCTACAAAATAAAACTTCACAATTAGCAATTGTTGCTTCTTCTGTCAAAGAAGGCATCTCCGAAATTTCGAAAAAACGAGAATAATAATCGGTGGTTATCATGTACCACTTTTTGCATTTGAAAAAATCGATGCCTATCTTTTGCCAAGGTCTATCGGAAAAATTTTCTTTTACGAAAGGTTCCTTTATATTTCTGTGCTTTTCAATACAATTCGGACAAAACTCGATCAAATTTTTTAATTGTAAACTTATGCCTAACCACCACACTGATTGTTTTGCTCTATCTCTGCATTTATTTATTCCCAAATGTCCTTCATGCAACTTTGTTATTACATCGAGTTGTAGAGGAGGAGGAATCATTAACCTGTTGTTATACAATAACAAATCTTGTACATAAGAAAAACTTTCTTTTAATTGGAAATATGGTAACAACCCATCCGGCAATTGACTTTTTTTAGGCCATTTTCTTAAACAATAATCGATTAGTTTCGAACAAATAAAATCGTTTTTTTTCTTCACATATTCTTTGTACATAATTTTCTTTTATAGGTAAGCTATTTATAACAAGATTTACGTAGGCTTCTGTTTCTTTTTCTGAATCATTCTCACTCTTGCTCTCAATTGGAAATCGTGAAAGCGTGTCTGCTAAAACTAACTGTTTCCCGGGAATATGGAATATGTTATAATTATAACGCATTAGCCGCATCCTTATTCGTTGTAAGCGGGGAGTAATTTCGTCCAATGGTTTCGTTTTTAAAATTTGTAAAAGCGGCTTGTGGTCGGTCTCTAAAGTCACATCGATGCCTGTAATGTAGTCTTTAAATTTATCCGCGGCAAACGCGAGGGCTAGTGCCTCTTTTTCTATTTGACTGTATTTACGTTCTGTCGACGTGAGCGTTCTCGATACGTATGCTACGACTTCGCGCGACTTATCGGCGTCTTGCTGCATAAGAGCTGCTCCGAGACCGTAACTTGAAGCATCGGCCTGAATTATTATATCTTTTTGGTAATCGAAGTGAGCTAAAATCGGTGATTTTAACAGTAAACTTTTCACGTTTTCGAAGGCCCTTTTTTGTGGTTCGCCCCAGACGAACGTTGTATCGTCTTTTAGCAATGAGTTAAGCGGTTCGAGTAACATTGATTTGTTTGGAACAAACTTTGCCACGAAATTAACTGTACCGAGAAATTGTTGCAGGCTTTTCACGTCTTTCGGTTCGGGGAATTTGCGTATTGCCTCTAATCTTTCTGGTAAAATCTGTATACCTTTTTTAGATATTCTATGACCTAAAAAATCTGTCTCCGTAACACCGAACTCGCACTTCCATTTATTAAGTGTTACGCCTGCTTTGTCTAGCCTGTTAAGTACTATTTTAAAAATGTTGTCATGCTCCTCACGATAGAGGAGCATGACAACATTTTAAAAATAGTCCAGAAAATACCATGCTTTGCTTACTTTGCATCTCCGCTTGTTGTACCAGCGTTATTGCCCTTTCTAGCGTGAGATTAGATGTGAGTTGCAATCGCTCCGAAACTCTAACGTCTTTGACTCCGATTACGATGCGATCACGGATTAAATCATCTTTCAATTGACCATAATCACACTTTTCTGCTAATGTGTGCAGTGCAGTAATAAAGGCATCAACACTTTCAGATTCTTCTTGGACACTTGAATTGAATTTGAACCGTTCAAAAATAACATTCTTTTTCGGAGAAAAATATTCGTCTAATTTTTTCCGTACTTCTGCGTAAGGCGTCGTGTCTGCTAGGTTAGGAAATATACGCGTCAAAACATCTTCAGCTTCTTTCCCCATCGTGTAGCATAGCAAATCTACTTTCTCTTTTTCTGGCCTGGAATTTACATTTGCGACCATTACGTACCTTTGGAAACGCTTTATCCAGACCGGCCATGCTTCAGGTTTAGAAAACTCAAATTCTCTGGGAGGTTGCACATTGGAAGCTGCTTGCCCAGCAGCTTGGGAAATAGCCTGGCTTTGTACTCCAGTATCGGTCGAATCTTGTGTGCTCGTCATATTGTTTTATTTGAAAACACTGATGCTTCTTTTTTTTTTTTTTTTCTTAACAATACGAACGGTCTTAACACCACTTACGCAATTCTTATTGCTTTTTCTTGGCTTAGATGCTGCCTTAGCGTAGAACTTTAGTTGTCACTTTTATTCACTGCGTCGATGCTAAATTTAACTTCTACTTCTGACACCATGTTGTGATATCGAGGACACGGGAGTATGGGTGTGATACAATTAGTGGTTTACAGTTAATGTGTATTGACAGGGTTGTGAGAGCGTACGTCCAGCATGATAGCTCCGTGGCCCGTCCACGTCTACTGACTCATTCGCATCTGTGTCTCTCTTAGACACTTAAGAGGGTGCTACTGAAGGCGCGCTCTCTCGACAGAAACAAACTCCGTATTTTCCGGATCGCACGAGTACGTGAATATATCGCGTTCAGAATCCCAGACTATCCCGAGCGTCTTTTTGACTGCAGACTGTTGAACCCCGCAATCCAGTTCGAAGATTTTCTTGTCGATGTTGTCCAAAGCAGACGGATGGTTCGAAGACCATTTTCGAATGGTAAAACCTCCACGTCTCAGAAGTTGGATCATCTCGTCACGAATCGCCAGCAGCTCTTCCAATGTCTCAGCTCCTGAAAGAAAATCGTCGACATAGAAGTCGCGACATAGAAGCAGCGAAGCTCGTGCAAATTTAGCTTCCTCATTCCTGGCCAACTGGTGCAGCGTGCGGATAGCTAGAAAGGGGGCGCTTTTGATTCCGAAGACTACAGTGTTAATGTAGAAAACCATTATTCGACCGTTGTAGTACCAGAGTATTTTCTGATATTTCCTGTCGTCAGGGTGAACCCAGACCTGCCGATACATTTTTTCAATGCCCGCAGTTAGAACGAAGGGGTGCGATCGGAAGCGAATGATCTGCTCGACGAGAGTGTCCTGAAGAGTCGAACCTGCGAGCAGAACATCGTTCAGTGAAATACCGGTCGAGGTTTTTGCGGACGCATCGAAAACTACTCTGCACTTGGTTGTTTCGCTTGACTCCTTGATGACCGCGTGGTGAGGGAGGTAGTAACCGCTTTCGTCGTCGTCCTCACACAGCGTCATATGGCCTAACTCCAGGTAGTTGTTGATCTCCTTCTCGTAAGCTTCCTTCAGGGCTGGATTTGCTTCGAATTTTCGCTTCAAAGCCTTGAAACGTTTCATCACCAGGGCCTTTGAGTGGCCGAGTTCGAATTTCTCGCCTTTGAATGGTAACCTAACGGTGTAACGACCTGATTCATCGCGAGTGGTATTTTGAATGTAATGTTGTTCGCAAAGATTGTCGTCTTCGATCTTACTCGGCCGCGGTTCAAGATCTTCGACGGCGATGAAGCTTTCGAAAAGGGTGTCGAGTTTTACGGCGTTACATGAAAGTTTGTTGGGTGTTCTCTGAGGGACAGAACCTCCGGCAACTACTATAATATAATAATATGTAAGTGTAATGATGATGAATGATAATGTGTAGAATATACACGCTGTTCCGTTGAACAGAAGAGGTTCGCGAGGGAGCTCCGCACGCTAGACGATGTCGTCGACGACTGCCGGGCAAGCCGGAAGAGGAGAGCGTTCTCTCCACGACTGCCGTGCCAGCACCGTCAAGTCCTGCCACCGGGTGAGATTTAGGGGCTCTAGCCCTTACAAATTGTTACGACTTAACATAAATTTTAGAGGAAAATCTTTTATGTCTTAAGAAAAAATATATTTCTAGCTTTAACTTAAATTTTACCCACTGAAAGTAGTTTTATTGTAATTTTTACACTCTAAAATTTAATTAGACATGTTAATATACAAAGTCCTAAGTTAACGTGTGTTCTTAAACTCCTACACTGGACGTTACTTAATTCGCGACGCGGGAAATTTAAAATTGGAAATAAGCTACGTCGTTTGAGCACCACTGTACCCGACCGAGGTTAGATCACAGTTTTTACCTATGAAGATGCAAGGTTTATGCTTCAAGTATAAATGGCTATTCACGAGTTTTGGATGGCAAGAATTAAGACAAATTTGGCGCATAGATTAAAAGAGAAGCAGCAGACAGTGCAGGGCAGCAAAGGACCAAAGAAGAATTCAACAGTTAGATAAGTATAATTAATTCACATTATTACAAAGTTTCCAAATAAGATAAATTTACTTTGTGTAACTTTGCAGGTCTCGAACGGAGAGAGTATTTAGAAAATATAGAGCACTTGGTACCAGCAATTCCTGGCAACAGATCGATTCTCCGATTAAGACTAATCAGAGTCATTCAAGAAAGCCTAGCCATATATCAAGCAACTGTTAGTGGTAGTAGGAGAGAGAGAAGCAAATAATGTAGAAGATAATGAAGAAGACAGTGAATCATTGGAGAATGCTGTGCTTCAAGACTATGTAAACAACAGCAGTGCTTCAGAAGAAATAATTGAATTTGTTCATAGACTGTAGAGGGATTCGTGTCAAGCATAATTATTATGCAGTGTATTTGTTATAAAAATGTACAACTATATTGTGTGGTTAGTGAAAGTATGAGCGACAAGTTAGTGATAAAAAATGTATCATTTAAATTACGTTATTTATTTCTTAGCTACCTTTTATATGAAATAATAGAATACATTTTGAATGTATGGACAATGAAATCTTGTTACATTTAGAGTGATCTATCTTTGATGTTGTAGAATTCTTGTCCATGCATTCAAAATGAATTCTATTAGTTTGTTTTTATTTTCTATTGTGGATAGTAAATAAATAAATAAATAATAACTTATCTAAATGCCAGCATAATGATAAATCCTTGCTGAAGCAAAAGCAGGTAAAAGCACAAGAAACTCGGAAGAAACATTTAAAATAGACACGTGTAAACAGACTTTTTCAGGTCTGCTATTCGAGCTTTGATTTTGACTGCTACTTTAAGTCCGTAACGGTGGTTTTCAGATTGGCCATAGTATAACGCTCGTTCTTAAATTATATAATTAAAACCTAAAATCAAATAATCATGCATCTAAATTCATTGTTCGGCAAACAAGTAATTTTAAACCTAAAAACAAATTAGTAACGTTTTAGCTTTTTATCGTATCTTAAAACGAATTTTCATTTTTGAATTTTCCCGCGGTTTCTTCGTTCCGATGCAACGACGGAATTCTCATACCAACCTGACTGGGGGGGTCGCGATTCAATCCACGTTGGGTGTACATCCAAAAACAGCTGATTACTCGGATGATAAAGTAGGAAACTCTGATAGGAAAACTATTTATTTCCTACAACAAAATACACCACAAGCCTTGCCTTAATCAGTACCATTTGAAAAATAGTTATTTTGGTATTTGAACCCCTCGAAAATATTGAGAAAAAAATTAATTCGTAGTCTAATTCGACGATTCTAATTTCGTGTCTTCCGCGCTGCGGAAAATCTCTTTTCTCGGCGGAAAAATCGTGAAATTTTAATGTATTAGATGATATGAATGTCTTCTTCTTAATTTGTACCATCTACGAAATCCAAAAATATAATTTGTATCCCTGTAGAATTTGAATTATACAGCGTTTTTCATAGAAACATAGTAAAATGCAAAAAATTAATAAAATTTGCGATCCTGGCAGAAAAATGGTGAATTTTCTTAAAAAATGTTAAGTAAATAGCTTTATGTCTATTTGGACTATTCAAAATTATCTAAGTTTTCTTTTCTGTACCCCCCCAAATTCTAAATCCAAAATTATATTGAAGTTATATAAGGTGTATAACTTCAATATAATTTATATATTTATTATATATTTATAGGTGGTACAAATTAAGACGAAGCTAATGGTATATATATTTTTTTTAAATCAATCATTTTTCTGCCAGGGTCGTTTCGATGAATTCTTCTTCTTTTTTCGTTGGCGTGCAATACTTAAAGCTTTGCCGTGCCATCACCAGGGGGCCTATTCTGAAAAAAAATTTTGTGGTAAATCAGTTTGTCACTTCAGTTTACCACAGAATTAATCACTTTAGATGTGATAAATGCTTATGACGTGTGCTAAAATTTTTTTTCAGAATAGGCCCCCAGGTGTTAGTTTGGTGTCGTTGTTTTATGTTTGAGTTTGTGTGAGTGAGTTGCAGCTCTTGATTTTAGTGCGTTTCGGTATGTTTGAGGCTGGTGGCCAGCACTGTTGTTTTTTACAGGGAAGTAGGAGTATTAGGATTATGTATCTGTTTTTATTGTTTTGTTTTTTATACTTGTATTGTGGTTTTTTTGAGGAATTCTGTGACATAGCAAGCTATTGGAGTTGTTGGATTATTTAGAACGCGTATGATATCTATTGGCCATGTTATTTTGCTTTTCTTAGTTTTGTTAATTAGAGATTTTCTTTGGTTAGCGTATTTGGGGTAGTCGACAATTACGTGTTCAATATCCTCAGACCAGTAGCCACAGTCGTATCTGGGAGAGTCTTTTATGTTTTTTTTATGCATGCTTTTATTTAGTGAGTAATGGTTGGATCATTAAGTCTGTTCATCATTGTTATGTGGTCTCTTTTCTTGTTATAGTTCTTGAACAATGCACTGTTATTACTGTTATTAAAGAAGGTTTGGAAGTATTTGACACCTAAAATTTGCCTTGTTTTTATCAGATAATCTTTTGGTTTAGTTATGTATCTGTTTTTGAATTTTCCTTGAAAGTCAAAGTATGGGAATGCTATTTTAATTTTGTTTCCTTTTTTTGTAGCTTGTTTTGCTAAAGTATCTGCCTTTTCATTACCTGTGATATTTTTGTGCGCCGGAATCCAGCATAGTTGTAGGGAGGTCTGTTCAACAAGCTTATATATTTTATCTTTTATTTCAAGGATTATATAATTAATATTTTTTGTTTTTGTAGGGTTGTAATGGAGTAGAGCTAAAATGACACTTTGAGAGTCTGTGAAGGTTGGGGATATTTCTAATTTTGATAAGATCAAGAGTTTTAGATATGGCTATTGCTTCAGCAGTGAAGATAGAAGCATTATTATTTTTAATTTTGTACATTAGATGTAAGTTTGTGTTGGGAGAGTAAACGGCAAAACCAACTGGATCAATATCTTTTATTTTGGATCCATCTGTGTAGAATGTTGTGGAGTTATTTAATTTATCTGCAAAGATTGTGTTGAATTCACTATTGGGATTTTTTGCTAGATATATTGTGTCCGATGTTGTTCTCAATGATATTGGTTAAGTTTAGTGTTATTGCTTTAAAGTTATATTTGTAGGGAAGTGGTGTTAGTTGTTTTTTAATTAATGGCCTGTAGTAGTAGAAAACATTTTCAAATGTTTTGAGGAAAGTTTAGGCATATGTTAGCGAGCATGTTGTTGTTTCTTGCTGTTAACATAAGTGAATACATTTTGTTTATTAGCAGGTCATCGTCTATTGATGCTAATTTTAGAGTGAGATTGTTCGATAAGAATTCTCTTCTTATATGTAGGGGGGGGGGGGTTCATTTGCTTCTGCAAACATTACATTGATCTGTGTTGTAAGTCTGTATCCTAAGGTTAGTCGTATTGCTTGATTTTGGATTTTTTGGAGTTTTTCTATTAGGTTTTTATTTTTTATATTTGTAAGAAAGATGTTATATTCTAGGTTAGATCTTATGAGTCCTCTGTAAATATTCATTAGGTTCTGGGGGTGTCCTCCCCACCAGGTTCTTCTTAAAACTTTGATGATGTTTACTAATTTAATTGTTTTTGATATTAGATGTTCCGTGATGATTCCAGTTTAGTTTTGAATCTAGGTAAAGACCAAGGTATTTAACTGTTTGTATATTGCCAATAACTGTATTATTTATTTTTAGTTGGTATCTATTTGTCTTGATACTGTTTTTGTGAAAAATTATTAGTTGAGATTTATGGGGTGCAATTGTTAGTTTTAGATTTTCAAAGAATTTGATGATTGCATTAATATTGTATTGTATTGCTTCTAGTCCTTGGTTGATGGATTTATTTCTGTTAAAAACTATTGTATCATCTGCAAATTATATAGATTCATTTGGTGTGGAGATGTGTTTATTTATGTAGGCCACATACAGTATATATAGTCATGGGCTAAGGACACATCTTTGGGGAGTTCCAATATGTTCTATAAAGGGATCTTCGAGTTCATGAGTGATATTGAATCATAGTTTTCTGTTTATGATCATATTATATATAAACTTTCGTAGTTTTGACGGTATATTGAAATCAATTAGGATTTTATTCAGGATGACAGGATCTACATTATCAAAGGCCGCTTTAATATTTATTAGAAATCAAATTAGGTATTCATTTAAGATAAAAGACTCATGAATTTCTGATATCAGTGAGGCTAATGCAGTGGAGCATGATTTGTATTTACGAAATCCATGTTGAGTGTTAGGAATAAGTTTGTTATTTTCTAGATAGTGTATTAATCTGTTTTGGATCATTCTTTCAGTTATTTTGAAGATACACGAAGCTAGTGTAATGGGTCTGAACTTGTCTTTGGACTGTTTAGGGATTAGAACTGTTAGGAATTCTTTGCAGTCTTCTGGAAAGTCTCCAGTGTTAATAATTTCGTTAAGTGTTCTTAGGAGAAGTTTTCTATAGTTTGTGGGAGTGTTTTGGAGCATTTCATTCTAAATCTGATCCAAGCCTGAGCTTGACTTTTTTTTGCTGCGTTAATTGCAACATCTAGTTCGTCAAGGGTAAAGTTTGAGTCTAGGTATTCGTGCTGCGATTCAGAAGTGTACGAGTTGATGGAATCAAACAGTTTGTAGTTGTTGGATAAGTTTGCAGGGCAGAAGTCGTTCGTAAATTTTGTCATGTTATTTATTACTTCGACGTCATTTTGTGGGTAGTAGTTATTGTTATTTTTAAATTTATGTATAGTTCTCCAAACTTCGCTTACATCTGATTCTCGTGACAATTTTTCCTCAGTGTACTTTTTAAAGTTTTCAATTTTAATTTCTTTTAGTCTTTTTTTAGATGCTTTTTCGTGGGCTTCTAGTTCATGGAGCGTTTTAGTTGATGGGTTTTTGAGTAAATTTTTTTCTTTTTCTCTTTGTTCTCTGATTATTTGTTTGGTTTCATCGTTTGACCATGGAGGAGTTGAAGAGAAGCATTTGTAGTTTTTCTTTAGTTTATTTTTGGTGTAGTTTGGGTCTCATATCTGATTAGTTTGTTGATGGGGGAGAAATTTCTTGTGTTGATTGGGAGTTAACGTTCTTATTTTTTATGGGGTTGTTATGAAATTCTTTTAGTAGTAGATCTGTTAGATTTTTGTAATTTTTAGGATTATCTGGTGGAAATAGGTTGTTTGTTTCGTTTTCCAAGTTGTATAGGTATCTTTTCTAGTTTGTTTTTTTTGTGGAAATTTTATGAGTGGAAGTATATGTTCATTTTTTGATTGTTTTAGAGATGAGAATTTTAATGAGAAAGTGATCGCTACCTAGTTTAATGTCTTCTCTTTGCCATGTTGTGTTTAGATATAAGTTGTTTGATGCCATGGTAATGTCTATTGCGGACTGTTTTTGTTGGCTATTTGAGTTTTCTATTCTGGTATAAGTGCCATCATTGAGAATGATTAGGTTGGATGTTTGAATGCTGTCATATAGATTTTTGCCTGGTGTGCATGTGTTCCCACATGTATTCCATATTTGATTATGGGCATTGAAATCACCTCCTATCACTTTTTTGTGATATTGGGACATAGAGTTGTCGAATTTGTCGCATTCAGCTGGTGGTAGATTTTGACTTGGTGAACGATACGCTGAGATGAATATTATTTTTTCTTTATTATTGAGAGTGACGTTGATTGATACTGTTTCGATGAAGGTTGGGTTGTAATAAATTTCTACTTCTTCATAAAGAATGTTTTTTCTACTCGTAGATACAAACTCCTCCATGGAGGTTTTTGTCAGTGGGATGATATCTGTCTCTTCTGATTAGATTAAAATTTTTGATTGTTGGGTGTGAGTGTTTTGTAAGCCATGTTTCTGATAGAAGTAAGATATCGTATTCGTCTACTATGTTTTTTAGAGAGTCAAGTTTGTTCATGAGTGATCTATAGTTCCATTGTAGGATTTTTAGTTCATTATTATTATATATATTTTTTATATTGTTATTGTTTTTATTATTATGATTGTTCTTATTATTATTATTAAACATTTAAAGGGTAAGTCGTATTAAAATAGAGCTAGTAAGTCTGAGCTGCTAGATGATTTTGAGTTTGTTTCTGGTATGGTTGAGTTTTCTAGATTTGGAAAGTTTTGATTGAAAATATTTTCTATTAAGATTTCAGGGTTGTGTCGTTGGTTGGGATTGGTTGATTGAAGATGTGGATGATTGAGATGATCATGATTGTTTGGTGTGTTTGGTTGGAAGTGCTTTACAAAGTATCTTTGGATGCTTCTCATTAGGCTGTCAAATGGGATGGTTTGAAGTAAGTTATTTATCTTATTTTCATTTTCTTCTATTATTTTTGTGGCTGTGTTTCTTGATTCGTTATTAGGGTTAGAGGTTTTATTATTTAGATCTTTTATGTAGTTCATGAATGACAGGTTTGTTCTTCCACTTGGGTTGTCTAGAATTTGTTTATGCTTATTGTTGAAATCTGCTTGTTTTCCTGGCATTGTCTTACCTGGGGATAATAGATTTCTACCGGATATACAATTTTAAATAGTTTTGCATCAGCTGGTAATGTTTGTCCTTTGACGGTAAATTGGATTGTTTTGGTTGGTACTGAAATGAATTTGTTCGCCTCTTCGTCTAGGGATCTACTGTAGAATCTTCTGATGTGTAGCAATTGTAATTCACCGAATGGAGTGTAGAGTTCAAGATTTTCTTTTAGTTCTTCTTCATCTATATCAATTGGAACGTTTTTAATTATTCCTTGTGTGATCATGAGGTGATTTGGAATGAACGCTAGAAGGTTCTTTTTTTTCCCAATATTCTAGTTTTAATGTTTCATTGGCCGTGTTACGGTGTTTAGCAATGATTAGTACTTTATTTTTACTAAGTTGTATAAAGGACCCCGCAGAATCCTTATAGGAAATGGCTTTCGGTCAAATTTTCTGAAACTTTGGGAAATGATAGTTCTTGGTACGTAGAACAAAAGTTCTCCTGGGTCCAAACCATGAAATCCATTTTTTCTCGAGCTACACCCCCTCAAAGTCAACCCCTTTCGCGCATATGCTGTATAGCGAGGTAAACAAGTATTGTTCTGATTGGATGTAATATATGCATATGCACATGTAGTTTGAGTACATACAAGCAGTATATATATATATATATATATATATATATATATATATATATATATATATATATATATATATATATATATATATATATATAGGGTATATATGTAGGATATATATATATATATATATATATCCCATCTTCGATATATCAATCATTAGTGCTACCGTTTTTTGGGGGGGTAGAGCTGACGATCTCACGGCTTCTTCTGTTCGGGTTCCGGCTTATCTGGTAGTCCTTTTCAGGGCAACAGTCAAGTTATCTGAGCGGATTTCTACAAACTACCGTGGTATAGTTGGTCCTGCTGTTCTTTTGGGGATAGTAGACCTGACGATCTCACGGCTTCTTCTGTTTGGGTTCCGGCTTATCTGGTAGTCCTTTTCAGGGCAACAGTTAAGTTATCTGAGCGGATTTCTACAAGCTACCGTGGTATAGTTGGTCCTGCTGTCCTTTTGGGGATAGTAGACCTGACGATATTACGGTTATTTGTGAGTTTATTTTTTTCCCTGCCAGTAATCACATAATAGTTTTAAAAAAATGCGGTGCTATGTATGTAATAGAGAGTTCAACCCACGGGTTTTGGCATTCATGAATGGTGACGACAATGCTAATAAACGTCAAATAGTTATTACTAGACGAGATGAGCTTGACCATCCTCCAGAAGTTCTGGATCAGAATTCAAGGATCTGCATCAATTGTAATCGCATGGTCATTGAAGAAATGAATATGATGGATGCTGATCCTGGATCTTTGCGACTGAATGTTGTCACGCAAACAGCATCTCAGACTTGTATCATTTGTAATAACCCAAATGAGATTCATAGATTATTATTAGATTGTCGGATTCAGGTATTTATAAAACGCAATATTTATATACCAGATAACGTGCGCAGTTGTGCACATCACCTTGATAATGATGGCTTATTTTTCAATATTCTTTTGTTAGGTTTACAGTTCATCAACAGACCTTACATTATCAGAGGACAGCAGTTACAAGTCTTTCTTCAAGGACTTAGGAACGTCGCACTTGATAGGGGAACAGGTATAGACTACGATAAGTTGACTGATGAGGAGTTTGAGTGTTTGTCCCCAATCAATAAACAACAGTTTGAAGAACTCCTAACTTACTGTGATCCTGTTGTTCAAAATGGAAAGTTGAGGCACGTCGGCAGGACAGATTTATTGATATTCTTATGCAAAATGAGGCAAGGCCTGAGCGATGAGTTTTTGAAAGTCATTTTCAACCAATCAAGTAGGCAAAATGTTAGTTCTATCATTGATTATGTCAGGTCCTCGTTGCTACTAAGATTTGTTCCAGAAAACATACAGTACGTATGCCTACATTCATAAAAGCTCAAACTTCCGCGTCTTACAACAGTCATACTCTCTTCACAAAAACCGTCACCTTTTGAAACCAACCCTAGTAGTAGCGCCGGATGATTATATCCTAACCATTTTCGGTCCATATTTTTCTGATGCTCGAAATAACGATGCCGAAATTCTTCGCGAAGAGTTCGAGAGAGATGCTGATACTTTGGCAAACTGGTTCCAAAATGGTGACATTGTTTTAGTGGACAGGGGCTATTGCGATGCTGTACCTTTATTGCAACGTCTCGGTATTGAACACAGAATGCCTGCAATTTGGGCAAAGACAGCTTACGACTGTAGATGCAAATGATTCCAGGATCGTAACGAAAAATCGCTGGGTAGTTAAAGCACGTAATGGTCATATAACAAATATTTTTAAGTTCTGGCCCAGACAATAAATCTAGAGCACGCGAAGCATCTTAATGCCTATTATCGTATAGCTGGAGCTATCATTAATAGATACCACCCTGTTCTTATAATGCAAGGTGCAGATGCTGTACAGGCCAGAGAGATCATTCGAAGATCAAGGATGCCCAATGTTGTGCAAGCGAGAGTAGAGTTAGACAACTTAGTTCGGAGAAATGGCCAGTGGCGAAGATTGAACCAGGAAGCTGTGGTAGATTTTCCAATATTTGGTTTGGACTACCTTAGAGATCTGACTATCGGCACTTACCAAGTGAATCTTTCACCTTCATATGTTCAAGATAAAGTAGTAAGGGATAACGATGAGGAATTTCAGCTTAATCAAAATATTAATGAGCCAGGATTCTTGCGTATACGTTTGTATTCAAGATTCCGCAACGCTACCAGACACCAGATTTTTATATCATATGCAGTCCAAGATGTAGACAATGAAGATCGTCAGAATGACGAAGATACAATTCTGGACTACTATTGCATTTGTCAAAGTGGGGCACGTACTCTAGGTACATGTGCACACGTTGCTAGTGTATTGTGGTATTTGGGATATGCACGGCATCAAGAAAATATTAGATACCCTGATGATTCATTACTGAATACTACATCCGATGCTGCGAACCGAGGTAATCAGCATAATGAAATAGACATAGTGAGTGAATAACTATGGATAAAAAAACTAGACACGTCCGTGTTCTTTTTTTTTTTTTTTTTTTAAGAAACGCACACACCGACCACTTATGTGTACAGTGTATATTGTCCGTTTCTTTAGGTGGAGAAAGCGTTCGAAAACTCCACCTCTTAGCCTTGATTCCCTGCAGAACCGACGTTAGTCATTACATCACGGGGGAGGCCGCACTGAAACCTCATTGATACCAACCTATATATACCGGCGAACACCCAGTGGGAGAGATAACAGTTTTGCCATAGTGCAGGGGCGACACTTAGGCTTGTGGAAGTTCGTCATCCCCGAGGCACCCTCAGTCGAGATGTCTTCGGCAAAAGCCGCAGCCCAGGTCGGGATTCGAACCCACGACCCTGAGATCGTGAGTCCGGCACTCTACCAACAGGCCACAGCTGTCCCTTGTGTGTGTGTGTGTGTGTGTGTGGGGGGGGGGGTGTATATATATATATAAGCTTGTATGTACTCAGACTTCATGTGTATAAGTATATATGTATGAATATATGCATATATTACATCCAATCAGAACAATACTTATTTACCTAGCTATACAGCATATGCGCGAAAGGGGTTGACTTTGAGGGGGTGTAGCTCGAGAAAAAATGGATTTCATGGTTTGGACCCAGGAGAACTTTTGTTCTACGTGCCAAGAACTATCATTTCCCAAAGTTTCAGAAAATTTGACCGAAAGCCATTTCCTATACGGATTCTGCGGGGTCCTTTTTTGAAATCATTTTTGTTTTTTACAATTTTGAGTATATCCCTTGCAATAACATTAACATCAGGATTTTGGATCGGTGATTTGTCTTGTCCGAAAAGTTTATATGGTCCGTAGTTGGTATTGTCGTATTCTGTAAACATCGGAACAAAGGAGTTTTGGGTGTAGGTTCCTGCGTGGAAGTTTGGTTAGGGGGTACTGCTGTATTGACTGCTAGGTTAGTATGAGTATTTGTTAGATTATCGACATCTTTAACTTCTGGATAGAAGTTTTCTCCTTTGTTAGAATTATTTTTGAATTCATTGGAATTTCTTTGTAAGGGAGCCCTCTTTTTGATTAAGTTGTGTGTTATTTTTTTTTAATCTGTTTGGTTTTTTCTAGGATGCTTAGTGCGTCTGTAGCATTTCTCTTCTTATTTGTTGAAATCACTTCTATTGTTTCCGTAATATCCATAGCGTTTTCATCTTGTATTTGATTTTTCGGCTTATTATGATGTGTGGTTAGGTTTGAAGAAATGTTCAAGGAAGGGATGGGAAGATGATGGTTTCCTCCTCCTCCTTAAGAGGGAGAGGCCATGTTTTATGTAAAAGGCTGCGCACGTGCTCGCCTTTTACTTTATAAACTTTGATAGTGGCCCGAGCCTGCGTACTCAAGCTTACAATCAACGCTCTATCCTGCTTTGTCCCACACGCATGTGTTGACAGGGGCCTACGATCATCGCGTATACATCGTGAAGTGTTATCACGCTGATAATGGAAGGGGACCATAAAAATGCAATCTATCTTTTTTTTCCCACCGATTTTTACGCTTACTCCAAGCGTACCTGAGAGTGACCCCGACGTCATATAAAAATTTTGGAGGCCCCGGAGGGATTAAATTGTTGCAAAGAAAACTGTTAGGGCTTTCCTTTCTTAAATTATATCAGTGATCAGTTAGAGTAAAAGAAAATTAAGAATAGATACTACTTAAAGTATTTTGTTGAATTTGAAATCTGTGAAGAATAAAATAAAGTAAAGAAATAAAATTTTTTTTTTGAATAAGAATACAAATTTATTAGTCAGAAAATCACTGATTTAATTGAGAAAATAGAAAATAAGTTTTGTGTTAAACAAGGAGATAGCTTAAATTGAAAGTGAAAATTAATTGGAGTTTATTTGGATTGAACTTAGGAAAATTTTGGGAAAATTAATGGGAATTTATTTTGTAATAAAGAATAGTGAAATAATTTAGAAAATTATTGAAATTTGAATGAGTAAATTAATAGAAGAGTTAGAGAAAAATAAAAAAAATTAAGTTGTTTAATAAAAGGGTTTGAAAAGTATTTGAAATTTGAAAAAAGTTTTCAGAGAAGAATCATTTTTTATGAAAATAAAATTATAAATCAGAATAGAAAATTTGTCCAAAGAAAAGTCTTCTTTTGTGCCTTGAAGAGAGAAATAAGAATAAATGCTTATTACAGAAAAAGGATGGTTTTGAATTTATGTTTTGTTCTAAAAATTGTATTTAGAAATAAAAAGGTTAATTTAGAAAGATCGAAAATAACATACAGAAAAAATTTTGAGATAATATTACAAATCTTGTCTGAGTCGGAAAGAAATACATTAGCAATAAAAATTAATTAGAGAAATTAGAAATCCTGCGGAAGAAAATTTAAAAATAAATAAATAAATAAAACTCGGAGTAAAAATAAGAGTTTTAGAATATTGTGTTTAAAAGAAATTTAGGAAATCTTGCTGAGAAAAATAATATAAAAGTAGAAATTTTGAAATAAATAATTTTGCAAATTAGAAAAATTTAAATAAGAAAATTGCCTGTTATAAGTAAAATAAATAATTTTAAAATAAATAGTATCAAAGAATGAAGGGTTTAATTAAGAAAGTTTAAGTAAAAATAAAGATAAATATCTTTTTGTAAGAATCAAAATTTATATTTAAGGAATGAATTGCCGTAATATATATCTGTAAAAATAAGATTTTGATAAAACGTTCACATACAGTTTTCCTTTAGCTATGCCACCACCATTTGTCGGCTTTCATAATTCTACAAACGAATAAGCTTTAATAAAATTTTGTTGTTAGATAGATAAGATTTTTGGTCTTTCTTTTAGTTGTAATGCCACCGTTCGTAAGTTTTAATACTTTTTCTAACGAAATAGTCGACACGGTAGATGAATTAATCGAAGACATTACACATTTAAAGGACAGTCAAATATCCGTAATTAATAAGGTTAATAATCATAGCTCCGATATCACAAGAATAAACAATAACGGTTGTAGTCTTAGCGCACGTGTCGCGAAACTTGAATTAGAGAATAAGCATAGAATTGAACAAATAGCTAGTTTGGGAAATATTTGTGTAGATTTAATCAAAACAAATACTGCCCTAAAGAAACAAGTTAAAAATCTTAGGAAGCAAGTAAAAATTAATGACAAACTAATTAATAGGAATACGATTTCAAAAAGGGCTTTAGCAAATAAAGTAGATAAATTAGCAAAGTCATTTAAAAATTCACAATTATAAGTAAAATAATTCGCGATAATCCTTAGTTTATACACAGAAATAGATAAGGTTTTATTACAATAAATTAGATTGAGATTTCTAGTAAAAGTATATGAAGTTCAGACTTTTTTTAGAATCATTCTAATTATTGAAATATGGTATTAATATAAGTTTGGTATCTTTGTTTCGATATTGTTCTAGTGGAATTAGGATATAGAACATCTAGAAAACGGCTAACTACAACACAACGAAGAGCTCTCGGGAGAGAGATTCGAAAGCACGAGTTAGGATTGCCAAAGGACAAGTATGAAAATGGATTAAAAGAGATATCCAAGCAGAATAAAATAGAGTTAGCTCGTCCGATAGAGATTTGGTCAACACCAAAAGATGAGGTACAGGGTCCACCCAAACAACCTGCACCTTCATCAAGTAACTTGCCTACAACATTAGAAGAAAAGGTCACCCAATTTCGAAGATGTTTATGTCGACATTTTGTTATCCCGGAAAAATGTGTTCGTTGTCAACAAACATTTAGGAGGGAATACAAAATACCGTTTTGCGAAAATCAAAGATTAAAAAAAAAGCATAATATTAAAGACGCTGTTATTAAAATTGCAAAAAGTGACGAGAAACTTAAAATACTGAAGGATGGTACAAAAGTAAACCCGGAGGTTTACGAAGTTTTACAAAGATCCTTGCGCGCGATTAAAAAAATTAAGATACAAAAGAAATCTTCAGAGCCTCCTTCTATCCCCAAAGCTCTTTTGAATCCGCCTTTACCACTGATAAAAAAAAATAATGTAAATTGTAAGGCTTCTCCCAATTTATCCTCTGCTAGTGAGCCGTTATCTAGAGTAGACAAATTTTTCGCATTAATAAAAGATTATAAGAATTCCTTAATTAAGTTGTAATTACTTAACAATTTGTCAACATAAAATTATGTAAAAATATATAAATACTTGTAATATTTAGCAAAATAAAACACCAAATAAATTTACACCTTCTAGTACAAATTTCATTTTTTTTTCTTTTCCCTTTGTCTGACATATATAAATGCACATAAGTATATTTATTAATGAGCGAAAACAAAGATAAGCGACTTACACGCAGCCAGTCGAAAACCTCGAGTGTCAGCTGGACAATTAGTAAAGTTGGCGGAAATCTAAAGCGATCAACAGAGTCACTCCCTGACTTAAATGATATTCAAGACAGTCCTGCTTTAGATCCAGATTTTAATCGAAACAGGGCTTTACACCAAGTCGAAACTGCGTCCACTTCACATATCTTAAGCGACCCTATTATTGATTTACCGATCCCTTTTATTAATTATAACAAAATGCCGCCGAAAATCAATAATAATAGCGAAGCAGAAATATACGCCGAAACCAAAGCATTACCAGGACATGTAGTATCGTTAAATGATGCATTAAGTGTAGTGCCAACATTTGATGGAAGACCAAACCAATGGACCCAATTTGTAGAAGGATGCAAAGAGGCATTAAGCATAATACCGCCAAACATAGAAGAAAATTTATCCAAACGCTTAAGATCGAAATTAGAAGGAGAAGCACGTGCTACAGTAGTAGGACAAACATTTTCTAGTGTAGACGAATTATTAAATCATTTAGCTGACATATTCGGTCCTATCCAAACACTAAATCAATTATTAGGTGAATTAGGCAATGAGTTCCACAGGAATGAAGAAAAGGTATTAACTTTTGGAAATAGGTTACGACTGTTAAGTAGTAAAATTATTGAAGCCAAAAAGAAAGAAGAGAATCTAGAATCTTTAACGCCTACACAAAAACAGATAATTGAACAAAATAAATATATAATGAAATACTTTCTGATTACAGAACCGAAAACATGATGCATTCTTCTCTGTTATCACTGATATTTTTAACAATAACTAATCCAGTTACAGCCATCATAGAATACGACTGCGGAGCAAGATCTCTTAATATAACCACTATATCTTTATTAAGCGTGGAAGAATGTGAGATGCCTTCTACAAAAATAAACGTAACAAAAAAATACATTCAATTATTACAGTTAAATAACTATGAAACTGCTCAAGTAATTCAATGTAAAGTCCAAGTAGACCGAACTGTTTATTATTGTGGAATGCATTCACATAATTCTATAATAGAGAATGGCGCGATAGAATATTTAATGGATGTAAGCCAACAAACGTGTTATGATTTACATAAAAGCGGTACATTTTATTTTGACAATTCACATGTATTTCGAGATATCAAAGTTAATCAAACCACAGTTAGACCCGCTATACTTGCAGGAAGCGTAGATCATAATGGAGAATGTACCTATGGTAGTTATTCCGATGCTTATGGAAGCTGGAATTCCGTAGTTGTCCAAGCTAAAATAAAAGTAACTTTACAAGAATATACCGCTTCTGTCGATTTAGATAATAACCAAATAATATTACGTAGTGGCGTGAGATGTATTTTAGGTAGTGAACATTGTATAGATTCTGAAGGAGGATACACTTTTTGGGAAAGTGTACCTAAAGATATATGCAAATTTAATCGGTATTAAATATTGTATGAAGGAACAGCTAATCAAATTGAAGGTGAAATAGAACAAACTTTATACTCGTTAGTAACACAAGACATTGCTTTTGCGTTAATATCCAAATCTAAACGTAATCTATGTGGTTACGAAATTATAGTTACTGAACACCCAAAATTATTTGTTTATATTGTCGAAAATAATGCATTTTTTCTAAGTAAGAAAATATCAATGAACAACCTAGATATATTTGCGTATGTAAATTCTAAGTTTGTATATGTAGAACGTCACATAAAAGTACAATTAAGTCGTATGTACAAGGATGTTGTCGTACATCGCTGTAAGCAAGAAAGAGAAATTATGAAAAATGCATTTGCAATTGCTAGTCAATCTCCCGATCAGTTTGCCTATAATCTCGTGAAAGGACCCGGATACATGGCTGTGACAGCAGGAGAGGTAGTGCACATCGTTAAGTGTATACCCGTTGAAGTGAAGGTATCGCAAGGAGACGAATGTTATGCTGAACTAAAAGTAATCCATAACAACCATACCAAATTCTTATCTCCCAAAACACATATTTTGAAGGCTTATGGGACAATAGTTGATTGTAATGCTCTCCTACCCACATTCTTTTATTTCAATGATGACTGGTATAAGTTCTTACCAAGAGTAGTAGAAGCAAAACCTCCTACCAATCTTAGGCCTTTTTCTGGATTAACCTGGAAGTACCAGAATATTCCCTCACTAGCCACCAGCGGAATATATACAGAAAAGGATCTACAAGATTTAATGAACAGAATCCTGTTCCCCTTGGAGCAACCTGCAGTAATAAATGATATAACCCGAGAAATTCGTGGACACACCATAAAAGACAGTAACGGAATAATTGGAAGGTTAATGAACGAGAATGTAATGGAGCAGTTAATAGTCAATACCTGGAACAAAATGTGGATGAAATTTATGACCTTTGGTACTTTCAGTGCCGGTATACTTGCAATTATACTAATTGTCCAAACTACAAAAAAATTAATAGAAGTCCTCATCAATGGAATAACTCTACATAGCATTTCTGGATGGTCTTTTCTTCTGATTGGGGCCATATGGAATAGTTTAACTACGTTTCTGATACATTTAGCACCAAAACCCACAGAAGCGAAAAGGGATGTAGAATCATCAGCAAATATTGCCACCGCTCCTGGACAGGAGTTATATCCAACTCTACGTACAACAAAAAATGAAATAACACAACACAACCAGAGTAATTCGATTCCAGCATCACAATCTCAAGCAGTTAAACCATCGTTTGGGTTCCTCCCATGTTAGGGCAAGATCTTCGAGATTAATAAAATATCAAATAAAATGATAAAACCTTGATTGCAGCATGATACGACAAGATCTTTATAATTAGAATAAAAATTTCGATTGCTCTTCCTCGTTGCACTCCTCTAGTAATCGTTTAAGTGTGGGGGTGTGACGGCTAGCCGTAACTTAGTTTTTTTTAAATTTAATTATTAAATATGGCGAACGGAGTGGGAACCTTCCTGATTTCCCACGATGAAAACGCATTCGAAATATAAACTTTGATAGTGGCCCGAGCCTGCGTACTCAAGCTTACAATCAAGGAATTATCTTCGCCTTTTTCGGAGCAGATTCCCCCTTGGTAACCCATTGTTTAGACTATTCTTTGGTCTCAGGAGTGTAGTGATGTATCCATGTTTCATCTACAGTGATGAAACGACGCTTAAAGTCTTGCGAATTTTGCTGGAACAGCATTCATTCTTGCAATACTTCACACGATCTCGTTTCTGGTCAATCGTGAGCAATCGCGGCACCCATCTAGCGGATAGCTTTTTCATGTCCAAATGTTGGTGCAAAATATTATGTACCCTGTAACGGTCCAGTCTGATTTGTCTCCTATTTTCCTCTGCAAAACGGCAACCCGTCACACACGAGACTATTAAAGAAAAGCGGTAATTGAGCGTAGGCGCTTTTCACACGTATATGCAAATGTGTTAGGGCAACTCTGCGAAAACATTACCATATAAGGAGCGGGACGTCACGACCGTGGGAAAATTTATTGTTTACAACAGAAAATCATCATTTATAAAGTTTTTTAAACGAACAAAAGTATTTCTTAGTTAAATTTGATGCGCTGATCCTGAATTTGTTGTTATAACTCTCAAATCGATATTTGTTAGTCAAATCTAATCTACAAGTTAACATTGTTAGTTATTTTGCAATAAACAACAATATTGTTATTTCGAGCATACGATTACAATCTCGACGTATTGAAACAGAAAAGCAAGAATTTGACACTTTGATTACTAATTATTCACTAAGTTATCAATAAATAAACAATTTATAATTTTTTTAAACAATTAAAATAACACTGTTAGATAGCAAATCGATATACGTATCTGTAAAATTGATGATTATGATTGTCACTAATTTGCTGATTTTTAAACCGCTAAAAAAGAAATTTGCAAATCTGGTTTTTAATTATTATTCAAAATTAGAGAGCAACATTAATCATTTTTTATTTGAATAACATTCTTCTAACCACGAGCGATTTTTTCATGTAAAAATTTTCCTTAATTTTATTGTAAAAGTGGCGTAATTTGATTATTGAATTGTATAACTTATAACTTTGAAAGGCGATTTTTCCTCGAGATGTAATTTATGTTAAAAAATTCATCATTTCAAGTTTAATTTTTTAAATCGTATAATTGCAATTTCGATCGAGCCATTTTGCGATAAAACATGTACAAAATTTGCGTCAATGACAAAAATAGCGTTTTAGGGGCTACCAAGCGTAGAAAGGAGCCTTTCGCATGTATAAATTCGCTCGTCGCTGCGGCAAGAGGACTTTCCTACCTTGCTTAGCAGCGCGAGCACTGTTGTAGAAATAAAGCCTCAGCTATTTCCTGAGACGAATTTCTTTTTCAGTGGTTAGCCTGTTAAACTCCTTTCCTACATATCTCTAAGCGCTCAACTCATGAGACTATCTCTCTCATGAGAAAAAAGCAGCCTTAGATATCTTCCCTCCTGAAATATATTTACTGTTGAGAAATTAAATTGAGCAGTGATCGCGGCGCTGTCGGGCCTCTCCCCGATAGATGCGATTGCTCTCAATTGCATTTCGAAGCAGCTCATCGAGTTGGTAAGCCTCGTGGTTTGCTACTCGAAAGATTTTATTTTATTATTTAGATTACGCTCGTGTCAGCTTCTTGCTTTTCTCGGAGACTTAATTGCGAATTTAATGTAAAGAGTCCGAACTATTATTTTCATAACGCGAGATAGATTCAAACGTTACAACCCGTTCGCTCGAGATGCTTACAGTACTAGCAATCTCACGCACCTTCACTCTTCTGTCAGCCATCACCATATCATGGATTTTATCAATGATTTCTGAAGTGGTGGACACGACTGTTATTCCGGTCATATCAGGCATTTAATACTA